CCTGAACTCAGAAACTCTAAATCTCGGAAATCTTTAATCCAGACACCTGTAACCCAGAAATCCTGGCTCCCAAAACCTTACAACTGAACTCAACAACTCTACGCCCGGAACTCCAGAATCATTGAACCCCAGACAGCCTAAAGCCACAAACCCTAACCCGGGGTCCAGGCGTTCAGTCTTCAGGGTTTCTGACTTCAAGGTATGCTTCTGTGCTCAAGATGTAGGGCTTTTCGGGTTTCTGGAGTTTCTGAGTTCGGTCTGGGTTTCAGGGTTGAGGGTCTCTTGGTTCAGGGGTTCTGGATTCAAGGGTTCTGGGAATTACACTTTCTGAGTTCAGGGTTCCTAGATAAAGGATTTTTGGATCTAGATAGATCCCAAAATCCACCTTAAATGGACTCTCAAACATATCAATCCCAAAACCCGATGGAAGAATATGAACCCAATAGTAGTGCAAAAAATCTATCTTATGCTGTTGTGAACCTTATTCCTTCGCTACTTTACTTACGAGTGGTCGTTGTTTTCGTCTAAGCCTGAAAGCACAGTTCTCGTCTTGTCAACGAATGATATTTATGGAGATGGCAAATCTTCTAGATCTTCCCCCGAGATTGGATCTCGAAACTAGTCTCCGTCCGAGTCAGGATGAAAAAGATCTTGCAGTACTGCGCACAAATTGGTCTCATGAATGAGCTCCGTCGAGCTATACTATCAGTGGCAGCCAGTCTGTCGCCGAAGATCAAAATGCGCTCGTGGATTCGAGTCAAGACGTCGTCCTCGGGCTGAACCCCCGCATCGTCTGCACTACGTCTGGGTCACCAGGTGCCTTGTTTCATGACAGCCTTGCCTGGCATTCCGCTGCCAAGACACCTTGGTAGGAAATGGCTATCCTTCCACCTCCAACTTGTCTCTTCAGCAAGGTTCGATATATGTTTCTACCTGAATCATACCACTGGAGTGCAATTTCCGACGCATACTCACCGAGGCTGCTTGATTGCACGATCTCCACGCAGTGTACTGCATAGAGCGACTTCTCCACCCGGCCTGTTGAGCCCATACTCCGTCCGCGGCCCAAAACATCGGACTCCCACCGGAAACCGACTGCACATGCAGGCTCCGAAGAGATGTTCGGCTCGTAGGCTGGACACGGAGTACCAGAAGACCACCAAGGCAAGCTTTCAGCTTGCGAAGCATTGTCTTGCCAAGAGAAGCCTGACGGCGGGTCAAACATTGACATTGTCTGCCCTCCTGCTACGGTCGGACTGATGTACAAGATTTGGTGCGTGGTCCTTAGCAATTTGGCACGACAGAGACCTCCAGCATGTTAGCCCTTCCCCGAGCTGACACAGACCATTTTCAATTCATCCATCCGATATCGTCCCACAAGACTTAGTTTTTCCAAGGCTGGCTTGTTGCTCCCGATTTTTGCTATTTCATGTGAAGCCATGGTTGTTCATCTTGTCCCGGTCCTTCTCGTTGTTTCGGCAGTGTTGGAGCTTTTCCGCGTGTCACCAAATATTCCTACTGTTGATGGCCGAGTCGGTTTGCTTGCTCTGCTTCCCCTGCGCAAACATGCGCTTGCACCATCAACTCTCCAAGACGGCTACCTGCAAACACGAGAAAAGGGCAGGTTTCCTTCCCCTGCCTCGCGGAGCTCCAGTCTTGAAGATGTCGTGCAGATTCCGTGGATCCGGTGGAAGGGAGAAAGGAGCACCAGTCAGCAGGCGAGGACGCCGAGGCCAGTCGAAAGGCACCGCTTCCAACTGTTCAGAGCACATCGGATCCTTGTAGAAACCAACACTCTGGATCCGCCAGGCATGGGAAACCTCACTATAAGCCACCATGCGCCAACTACTGGACCGGAAACCGTGGCTGGTCTCGTTTGGACAACTGGACAAGGAGTTGTCTTCGATAACGGTGGTGACATTCACGAACGACTCTCCGATGGCATTGATGGCAACCACCACCAGGTCGGTGCAATTGGCCAGTGGAGTATTAAAAGGAATCTCAAAGCGAGTGGACCCAACTGCTACCTGCCCCAGAACGAAAATCTGATCACTGACACACTTTATCTTGATTCTGTAGGCATCGATGGATGAAACATCGTCAGGCTCGAGCCACGAAAGGTCACCGCCGATTTCGTCAATAGTCAGATCCTGGTCCCAGAAGAACAAATTTCGCACCGCGTAGCGCGGCAAGAATCGGTCCACGATTGAAGAGTAGCTACCGGACAGTGCCTCTCCTGCTGAGTTCTTAGTGTAGACAAACACGAAGGAAAAGTTCGCAAGGCTTTGCCCAGCGGGCACGCTTAAAGTGTTTGTCCCGACAGCCACTTGTCCCAGCAATATGGAATCAGACGGAGCGCCTGCAACATCCGCAAAGTACACAGTGTAGTCAGTGAACTGGGAAGCATCGGTAGGATTGGTTGGGGGAGTCCAGGAAACTGTTCCACCCACAGAACCAACGTTAGGATCAGTATCAGAAAAAGTCAGCGCGGATACCAGTGAGTCTGGCAAAGCTCGATCAACAATTAGAGCGGCTTGCCCCGGTCCTTCACCAAAGCCGTTGTTCGTATAAACGATTATGTGCGTCAACTTAAATGACCCGCTGCCAAGCGATGTGCCCAGGCCCACAACACAGCTTGAAAAGCCGATGGCGATGCTCGAGCAAACAACTTGCCGTCCGGTGCCAGCAGCATCCAAGGCCAAGACCACCGAGTAGTGAGTGAGACCTGTTGTATCTGCTGGAGCGAGCCAAGTTATGGAGCCGCCAACTATATTGACGGACACATCGACATCAACGAAGGAGACACTGCCGACGGAAACCGTGGGAAAAACGTTTGTCTTGTCTACCAAGGCAATGCTAATGCCAGATGGAGCCTCGCCCAAAGCGTTCTTGCTAAATGCGAGGAAATGACTGGCTGTACCAGGTGGGGCTGTGTTTGTTGAAATTGTGAAGGTCGCCGCTGTGCTGCCAAGCGGAAGACTTGAAACTGCTATTTCTCCGAGCAGCAGTATCTGTGCAGATGCATCGGCCACCACAGAGCTGCCATAGTATGCGGTATATGCAGTCACATCACTCTCATCACTAGCACGCATCACGGTAAGAGAACCTCCAATTTGTCCACCGTCCATGTCAATATCATCAAACTGAAGCTGGGCAGGGGGATTTACAGGTAATGCTAAGTCGACTAGCACCATTGCAACACCGGTCGTCATGTAACCATCGTCATTGCCGCTGAGAACCAGGAGGTGTTGTGCTTGGCTCGGTATCGCAGTTCCTACAGGCAATGTATGGTTGGGACTGAGGGGGCCTTGCGAGATTTCTGCAAGCAGCGTCAGTGGCTGTTGGAAGGAATCAGCAAAGTAAATACCATACTTGGAAATATCAGCTTCATCTGCAGCAGCTGTAATCTCGATCGTGCCGGCAATCTGACCACTGAGCAGGTCTTCGTCAGTGAATGAAATTGACTGAGCCGGATGCACAGGAACGTATCTGTCGACAGCTAGAACACCCACACCAGTCGTCATCTCTCCGTCCGTGCCTCTGCTGCGTACAAACAGATACGGATAGCCCGGCAATGCTAAAGTGTCCGTCGGCAAGAAATGTGCAGTATCGCTTCCGGTTGCAGCTGCAGTTCCGATTATTGGACCCGGTGGACCAGTTGCAGATACTGCAAAATAGATGGCATATGACGTAATGATGCTTTCATCCGTCGCTGCGCCCACGGTAATGAATCCTCCTAGTTCGCCTTTAACCAGATCCAGGTCGACGAAGGTCAAAGAAGTTGGAGGATGCTCTGGAATGGCCTGGTCATAGACAAAAGTGCTCGCGATGGATGCCTCGTTAAGCCCATCTGCATTCATAGTGTATGCAAGAATGTGCGTGCCACCGCTTGGAATTACTGCAGATGCAAGCGGGAATACTAGCGGGTTCGTCGCAATGGGAAGCGAGGCAATGTACAGCAGGTAGCTGGTGGGTGAGGATCCCCAATACAGGACATAATTCGTCACATCTGACTCACTTGGTGCTCTTGCAATGGTGATCGTCCCTGTGACCTCTCCGTACTTAAAATCTGTGTCTGAAAAGGAAACCCCACTGGGCCCCTGCGCAGGCACGTAGCGGTCAGTGAATGCCAAACTGGAGGCCGTCGCGCTCTCTCCAAATGAATTGGAGCTGTATACAAGGAAGTGAGTTGCAAAGACTCCGGAAACGTCCGGGATCGCTGTGCCTGTCGGGACATTGTACGAGGGCGCAAAACCTGTCGCAGGCAGATCAAAGAATGGCAGAAGCTTTATTGTGGGCGACGAGCCCCAATAGACCTTGTAGCTGTCAATGTTCACCTCAGATGATGCCTTGACAAAGGACAACACACCCTCAATTTGGCGCAGATCCAGGTCCACATCAAAGAAAGCGACAAGTCCGGGCAACTCCGTCGGCACCTGGGCTAGAGCTACAATGCAGAACACTCCGCCAAAGCTGGCGGCCAGCTTTGCACGAACCATTCAGCCCCCCGTGGCCATTGAGCTGCTACGACAAAGAAGAGGATTTAGTGAAGGCTGGTGACTTAGCTGTTGCAAAGGACTGAAAGAGTGTTGCAAAAGCAAGCCGTTCTGAGCCAAACTGGTTCTCAAATGTTAGATGCACCTTCCCTGACAGCAGTGTGCCCAGTTAGAAGAAACATCTAGCTCCGACTCGACCGCTTGCCTTTTGCTTCGCTGGGCGGTCCTTGTCCGCATGTCTAACCAGGGCCCTTCCGTGGTGCCCGTCGGCTCGGCCGAATCTGCATTACGCCGCCACACAACACCAATATGCCACTACACCGCAGGAGACGGGCTTTTGGGTCCATGTGGGTCCTATGCTTCCGAAGTAACAGAAAAGCCAGAAGCGAAAGAAGAAGCCAAGAGATCCGAAGTTAGCTTAGCTCAGCGCTCTCGTTGCCTTTTTTTCTGTCGTTGCTCCGGTCATGCCACTTTCTAAGCTTTGCGACAGAAAAAGAGTGGGTATCACTGCAACCTCGCTCTGAGCACCTTCAGTGTCAAAGCCACCTCAGCCCGTGCATCAAAGGCAAAGCAGCAAGCACCGATTCGCACCGGCCTGCAAGCGCTGATCCTCATCCAAGAAGCTCAACTCCATTGCCTCCCTCACGGGTGAAGGGAAGGAACGGGGCTCACACTGTCCCTGGGCAAAGCCTGCACAAGACATCGCTGAAGCGCAGCACGAGGCTGTCTTGGCTCGCTCCAAAGCTGATGTCCACAACCTGCCATTAGACAGCACTAGCTACACCAGCTCCGGTTGGGATGTACTAGGGCGCCACCTGGCTCAAAGGCATGCGTATCTGCTGCCGCTGCCCTCGGTTAGAAGAACCACTCTCAGCAAGAAGCTGCAGTTGTAGAAGTGGCTTGTCCGTGCCTGTCTCAGCTCCCACGTGCAGCTCCAGCGTCTTGCAGTCCTAGAAAGTCCGTGCGGGCGAACTGACAACGAATCGCATCACATAGGGTCCTGCGAAATACCCAGCCTGTAGTCTGCATCCTGAAGAAGAAGCTCAAATCCAGTGCCACCAACATGCAAGCACGGGAAAGGGAACTCTGCCTTTTGCGGAACTCGAACAGGAACGCCCATGGCCAAGATCTGCAGGGTTTGATCCTGAATGCAGAGAGTGACATGCAAATCAGCAAACATATCTCGGCCGAGATTCCATCCACATCTTGGGCCAGGACTACTACACGCTGCGCCTGTCAGATCAGTGAACACGCATCTTGCCCGCTAGAAAATGACTCCCCGTATGTGCACGCGACGAAAATAGCACGCTGATGCATTCAGCCTGCCATTGGATACGCCTTCTGCATTTTCCTACCTTGCCTGCTACTTGATTCGCCCGAAGGACTTTTGCCGCTTCTGCCTGCTGAAGTTGCTTCTTGCTTTGGGCAGGTGTCCACCTCATATGCTTCACCCCAACCTAAAGGCCTCTTCACGGCACTCCATCGAATCTGAGACTGCCGCGACGTCGTCTTGACCCTGGCAGAACTTTGGATCAAAACTCTAAATTGCCGACAGACGGACAAGGTTGAGCCGGCGGGGCTCATGGAAGCCCTTCATGCTTCGCGTGCTCTCCTTCGAACCTCTCAGGGCCACCAACAACTCATTAATTAGCATCTATCATCCAATGCTTCAGGGCCCGCACACTGCTGGCTACAAGCGAGGACCTGTGACAGCACGTGAATCTTGCTGTGCCAGCTCTCTACGGCGTAGGCACCCGCCCTGGAGGGCTGGCTTACGAAAACTCCAGTAATCAGCCCGAAAGGAACGGGTCCAACCGGAGCCATGAAGCTGCGCGAAGACTTGCGACTGTGCTTCAGGCTGCGAGGTTCTTTAAACGCACCCAGTAACACTTGGTCTCGAGCAGCTTCTGTCCGACAGTCACCTCCATTCGGCCTCCCGAGGGCCACTCGGAGCACAACCGCTGCAGTAGGCTCTGTCTCACTAGGGTCACAAGGAGCTTCGTGCACCAAAGAAAGGAATCCTGCCGAAGCCTGTTCATCCTGCTCGGGCTGCCACAGCTTCCGGCAAGACTAGAGGAGCCTGGAAGAGCTTGGTGAGCTGCTAGCACAGGAAGTGGCCAGCCCTTGGCGACTCATGCTCGGGCGTCCAGGTCTGGTCCAAAAGACGGAGAGACAGACAGACATACAAACAAGATAATATACTGTGCCAGCGTCCCAAGAAACCCCAAGAACAATGCCAAGAGCACGTCCTCGGGGGGCTCCCAAGACCACCCCACAGGTCCAAAGCGCGCAGGCACACGAGTCGCACCTCAAAATTATCCAAACTATGCACCTGACGTTGGCGGTAGGACGATTTCTGGAGGTGGGCAGAAACATGATTTCGAAAAATTCCAAGGCTCCTCAGAACGGCTGGTTTTCGAGTGTAGCCCTGCTAGGACTTTAGCGGCTCCGAAAGACTAGAAATCCAAAACGAACACGGGACTATGGCTGGAGTGCGAGCTCCACCCACAGGCACCCAAGAACAAGCACACACTCAACATACTGGAGTTTACAATGAATCGGTGATCGTGGTGGACGGGGCCAGGACTGACGAGAAGTTCTGATGATGCTACTCCCGTGGTGGGGGGGAAGAAGGATGGGGCAGGTACCAATGAAGACACCAATCCTGACCCATAATATAGGAATGGGACGCCAGTCCTACGTACCTGCACTTGTTTTCCATGAACCATCAAATGAGATTGCGCCGGCCTGTGTCACGATTCTCATCCACTCAAGTGTGTGTAACGAAATTCTTGACCCGCACTAAGCAGGTTGATGTTGCATATTGTTGCATGTTCACTTTCGCCTTTTCTGTTCTACACCCTTCTCCCTGGCTCCTGTCGATGACAGGAGCCCCGAGAACGGGACCGAGCTGGGGACGACTCTCAAAATCTCGGTAGTACGCCATACGACAACGCTCGATTGATCGGCGACCCGGCACTGCCCGACGTCAATCATCCTTCATTGAAACCATTCTTGGACAACAAAGCTCCCCTCACGGACCGATTAGGCCAAGAAATTGGTCCGGTGGGTCGAACGTAGCGTCTGATGGCCAAGCTCAAATCAACATGCCTAGAAGTTCATTATGATTCATTGTATGGCTGTCATTGACTGTCATGTCGGAATGTCGAACAGACGAGCTGCTTCTTGTGTCAGAACGGCCCCAGGCTCTCAGTGGCGTGCAGCCAAGTTCCAACTCGCCAGTCGCCAGGTCTTCAAACAAAACGAAAATCTAGAAGCGCGTCGTGCCAAGACAACATATTTCAATTGCAGGTGAGCTCACCTTGACTAGCAAATGTCGCTTCCGCAATCTGGAATTTATCAGAGGGCTTTGGCCGCTGGATTTTCGAAGTGCGGCGCAGGCTCGATGAGCATGATTTCACACACAAAGCTTGCGATCAGATTGCGTCACTGGAAATGCTGCAGTGCTGCGCAGCGGCCATGTCAAAACTTCAAAGACCGTATCTCGGGAGAGCGCCCATCAGCCGGCGGCCCAGGGCGGCCCGTTGCCGCCCACGCGGTGGCCCACATCCTGGCTGAGCCAGGACCTGCCCTGCGCAATCGGCAAAGAGATCTTACCACCCCTCCCTGCAGATGCAGATTTGCCCTGGTTTTTCCATCTCGCAGGCTCATGGCTGCATGAGCTGTGTGATGTTCCCTGAGGGAACTGCAGACAGCCCAAGGAAGCAGCAAATTTATCATTCCGCTACATAATGAAGTATCATGCACATTCAGCGTAGCTTTGCGCATGAAGAGAAGGCATTCAGCCAATTCTATGATGCAGGATGACGACGAAACGGTCTGCCCGTCAATTTCGACGGGGGCCCACGAGCCGCATTCCTGGAAGATGTTGCCTTTTGAAACGCCTGTAGTGAACTCGTGCATCATCCCTTCGTTGCTTCGAGCTTTCGAGCAACGAAAGCTAAGCTAAAGACTCTGTCCTAACAAGCAGGAGCGGCCAAAGGCGGTGTCGATGAAGTCGCGCCTCAAAACTGCATGTGCTGCTCGCTGCTCGCCCTCGCAGTAGGAGATACCAGGACACAATTGACCGGGTCGAGGTGCCAAACGGCTCGACCCACCAGCTGGGCCAAAAAGGCAGGTGCGGCCTTGATGCCAAACAACGACTTCTCAGATATCCCATACTGAACACATGTCTTTGCAAGACTGAGCTGCAAACTCCGTCAATGAATTGCATGTCCAAGCTGCCTCATGCTCCACAGTTTTTCAGCAGAAGAGACTGACACCCGATTTCAGCGAGGACCCTGCAACGTCTGGACCCGCACCCTCGTCCGCACGGCTCACGCTTGCCGCGACCTGGCCTGTGCCAACTGGTCAGATCATAGCAAATCCGAGTGTAAAACCTCGCTTCTGATCAAAGTGGCCTGGGGCCACAGAAGCCCACATCGATTCAGATTGATCTCCAGCCACTCGGCAGCCACAACCTGTCATCGCATGCGACACGCCTGATCGATTCTGAGCATGTCACACAGGATACAGCCTTCGCTCACAGCTCGCGGTTCCTCCGCGCGTGTGCGTTTTTCCAGGTCGTCCACCCAACACTGCATCCTGAGAAGGAATTCTTGTCTGACAGGGACATGTGACGAGTGATTGCTTTCTTGGCTCCAAGCCGGTTCACAGCATCATCTGCAGGGTTTGAGCTGGAAGACCTGCGAGAGACATCGCTCACCTGGAAGCTCAGAAGGTTGCTGCTTACACACACGCAATGCCCAAGGGCAGCACTGCCATTGGGATTTTTAGCTGCAGGAAGCTGCCTCTTCGTTGGCGTTGCCATGCAACCTCTCATGTACAGATCATGCAGCCGATCAGCAGAGTTCATCGACATGTGCCACTAAGCAGAGCGGCTGTTGAACAGCGGCTTTCATTGCCAGAATGTGAGCTGGACCTCAATTAACTTCTTGCACATACTCTGCTCGCAAACCTGAATATCATCTGAGAATGCAGCCAAGGCATTCGTCGGATAGCAAGTGATTCCCAAACAACCCAGCAGCTTTTTCCAGCCTGTCGCCTCGCGATTATGTTGAGCGGCTTCTCCCTGCAACAATAACCAGACCATGCTATGAAACCAAAAGGCAGTGCGCAGCCAGAGCTCCCACTTGCTCTCGCAGCCTAAGGACCTGCGATCTTGCGCATCGTTGTCCAATTCTCAGTGACAAAGTGTGGTTGGTGAACATGCATTGTCGGCCTTGTGCCGAGCCTCTGTCAGCCCCCCAATCGCGCCGACAGTGACGGCCTGCACCGTACTGCTTTTCTTATTCACATCGTACTCGGTGGAGGGAAAAGACAAGCGCAAACTTCATAAACGTCAGGGTGACTGGTTTACTTGTACTGGTACTCGTACTAGTACCTATTGTAGTAGTAGTAGTAGTAGTAGCAGTAGTATTAGTAGTAGTAGTGGTAGTAGTAGTAGTAGTAGTAGTACTACTAGTAGTAGTAGTAGTAGTAATAGTAGTAGTAGTAGTAGTAGTAGTAGTAGTAGTAG